CTCTGTCTCTGTCTCTGTCTCTGTCTCTGCTCTCTGTCTCTGTCTCTGTCTCTGTCTCTGTCTCTGTCTCTGTCTCTGTCTCTCTCTCTCTCTCTCTCTCTCTCTCTCTCTCTCTCTCTCTCTCTCTCTCTCTCTCTCTCTCTCTCTCTCTCTCTCTCTCTCTACTGGGGCGGCTACACCAACTGACATATCGATCAGGGCACCCCTCGCCTCGCCAGGCCACCAACAAAGCACCAGCAGCTGCTGCAGCGCTGCTGGCAAGTGACGCTCCCGCCGTCGGCCGCGCTAAGGTCGTCGCCGGCGCGCCCTTTCGGTGCTGTTTTAGCGTTCCCTATTCCCCCTGTAGACCGCGAGGCTGCCTTGGGACTCACCATTGATCAGATTACCCGGACGTTTTGTACCGGTCGGAGTTCATAATTTGGTTCGCAGAAAGCCTTTGCTGAATAACATGTCACTGGCTTAACAATGGAGTGCTGTTGTCTGGTGCCGACTTCCAAACACTGAATATCGCGTAGCTCATCCACATCTGTGAAGGCATCGTCGCTCGCTTTGCCTGGCCTCGCGTGCGTATGTGCAAGACGCCGTACATCTCCACCGGATATGACCTCCCCTGGCGTCTTCTCCCACGCGACGTCCGCCCCCGCTCCGCCACGGAGGGCCCCTTCCAGCGCAGTACGTTACGCGTCGCGCCACCCACGCTGTCCCGCAGTTGTTCGATCTCCCCAACCGACCACTTTGGTGAGCTCCCCTCACCGGCCGCAGGCAACATATTCTTTGGTGCGTCGGTGCACTTGATGGTGCGCTCTGGCACGTGCAGTGCTCATCAGAATGTTCCTGTTGGAAAGTACCCTTTCAACGGAAGAAAACATTAGCGGGATGCTGCATTTCGGCGCTGCGATGGTACCCGCTGGCAGCTCGGTCATTAGCGGGATGCTGCATTTGTGAAGGCGGTGGGGTTGTCGATGGCGTGACTGGTATTATCATCGTACTCCATCGCAACGGTATATCGTAAAAGTGTTGTGTCACAATAGTATTACCATACTGCAATACCGCAGCAGTGTGGTATCGCATTAGCATTGCATGACTTAACAGGGCAAAGCGAGAACGGTATCACATTTGCGGTGTCGTGCGTGACCACATTACCTCACATTGGCCACTTTTTCTTGCGTGTGATCACCGTATTTCGTGCTTACTGCTCTGTGTGCGCACCTTGCGCCACAAAGAACCTCTCATCGCATGCACACACGTGCAGTCGAGGGGGTCACGGGGCAGGAGTGCTTACCCCAGAAAATACTTTGTTACCCACGCATTTCCTTTGCTAAGTGCGATGTACGCAGGGTCCAACCTATGAAAAGCAAATCCCTCTTAACTTTTTCCCCTTTGCAATGCTAGATTTATGTAAACACCACATATGTCATGGCTGTTCTTAGCGTACGGTCTCTGGCCATGACTGTAGCTATTGCAATAAGAACAAACATGACCCACCGCACTGTGACATCCATTTTTAGACATGTGTAGCAAACCAACATGAACAAAGAACTTTTGACCCCAATCCATCTACGCATTATGATATCCCCCCCCCCATTTTGTCTAAGTACGTTTTCAAATACACGTAGGTTCACGCTTGCTTCAGAGTACAAGTCCCTGTCGCTCGGGAAATAACATATCTTGATCGAACATTTCTGGAGGATGCATCATAAGATCTATACGCTGGAGCCTACTCGGGTGATGAGAACAGCGTTCATCGGTTGTTCTCATTGCTTGGGTCGGTTGCAACGCACAGGACCTCATAAAATAAATTTTCGAAAATTGTTATGCTTGGATACATCATCTCCTGAACGACAGCGGCCAATAATTCCGAAGACATAAAGCCACACGGACATATGACAAACAAAGAGCCATTAGGACCCGTCAAGATTGGCCCATCTCAGGTTCCGCACATATCTTCGAAACTAATATTGCCACTTGGCCTGCTTGCATTTACGTGGGTACGTAGTTGCGTGCGTTTGAAAACATGTGTTGCGGAATGTGGAAAAAAGCTTACAACTCGTGGATGGGTTAAGACTGAAAGCTTAAGACGTTCGTTGTCCAGGTTGGCTTGTTTCACGCGTCTAAAATACAATTATTGGCATTCGGTTATCCTGCTTATTCTTATAACAATATCAAGGTTATTCAGTTGTTTCAATATCACTGAAGTGCCACCATGCTTCACGCTTTTCCAGAGCTGCGATACTAGCACCATGTCATAACGGACATTGTGCATTCACATCAACGGCATGTGTCCATGAGTTTCAGGTAGAAGCGCCCATGGACCCCGGCAAGAGTTTCGCTCCACACGGTATTTGCCTCCCTCTGTGCATTTCTATATCACTCCGCACTTTGTGGCCATTTCCACTTGGGCACGTACAGTAGCCTTCCCCAAGCGACGCTCTTCAAGGAAAATTCGTCTCCTCATTACTAAAAAACAGCACAGACTCGTCCCTGTCCCAGCGATTACGCTTCGTGTACAATTGACAGTCTAATCTGCAGACCTTGCGCCATCCTGTGATCAGGCAGCTGCTTGCGACGCATCCGCATGGCGGCTCGGCCTGAGTTGTCCGCACCGAAGGTGGCAGCAGTGACGTCAGCAGACATTGAGCTGCCTCTTGATTTTCGACTTGTTGAGTTCGCACGTCAAAAATAGTCATCCTTTTATGCACTAGAAGGGTCTGGTTGTGAGAAGGCTGCAGGCAGTCGTTGAAAGGTGGCATGAAAATTATTCATGCTCCCAGCATGACCATGGATATGTGCTGGAAACATGCTGATGGCGTGATAATGGTCGGCTAGTAGCCACAAGCCCTGCTGGAAACGCAAGTCATTTGCGTAACACATCAATGATGCTTAGTGTGTTCTTTTAACGATTCCCCGAGGCGTCTTAATGGTCGGTTATTTTTGGCAAAACGCCAAACACCGGCGGAAGCCAAAGATCAGGGACTTGAGAATTGCGGAGGGGTTGCCCCAACGCACGCGACCGTCACCGCGTGTCTTTTGACCCGCGGGCGAACGATCCTGCGTGGGCTCCGTCTCGGCTCCTGTGCGGTGCAGCGTGTACTCTCATGCTGGACTGGCTACGACGGTAATAGTCACCGTAACAAGTTCCGGGATTTTCTTGACCATCCGGGTCTGCGGTAAGCAAAGCACAGAGCTGCGATACAGTGCCGTTGGATGTGGCTCGTGCCACTGAATATGTTGGAGAAGTCATCACTGTCTGGCTTTTCCCGGGAAGTGTGACATGGGCAGAAGGCTCTGGGTGCGTCGCGTACTGCTGTTGAAGATCCAACTGAATGTGAGCCCTGCTGATTGGGACTTCCATGGCCGTTCAAGATCTTGCGCGCTTTTGCGGCATCGAGTACCGACGTGCTCGAGTGCTCACCCCAATGACATCCATGCGCCTACGTTTAACCGGTATCTCCTGGCATAGTGAAGGCCGTCTATTTTCAGGACAGGGACAGTTCGGACTGTTTCACTGTTCGCTGTCATGGCCGCAGACTCTTGGGATGTCAACATTGCCGTAGGAACGTTTGAGGAGCTCTTGACTGAAATCGTAAATCGCAACTAGTAAAACATCCACACAGAATCTGCAGCGCAGGCCATGGACAATGGCAAGGAATGCATGATAATAAATCCTGCAGAAGTCGAAGGGTCCAAATCAAATTGGTCTTATATCAGATCAGCATGCACAACTCCCCGCGGAAGTTTGAATGCCAGGTAATAATGCTGGCTGACCTTTGTAAAATATTGCGGATTATGTAATGACAGCACGGAATGGCATCGCAAACTTCTAGAAGGTAAGTATACCTCAGGCGTGATTAGCTATGAATACGCGTTCCTGACCATTCGGGCGTGACCTTTGTCTTATTCATGAACAAAGTCTAGAGGTCTACGCTGAAACCCCATGAAAAATAGATGTCCATTCTTGATTCCCCGAAACATTCCGTGATGTCTCCAAGCTTTTCGGCGATGGAAATCCACGAAAACGGAAATCTCCGCGGACTTCTCAGAGGCGGCAGGTTGACCTAACACGGTGCGTAGATAATGGCAACATCGGATGGCCCTTTGCCTTCGACGTCACTTGATGTAGAAGGCAAAGAGCAAGCCAATGTTACCATTATCGTGGCGTTGCGGTGAGTGATTTTGGCGCAGTGGATGAGAAAGTCACCAAAACCACAGTTTTTCATGATCTGACCAAGCTGCAGGTCATTTTCATGACCTGGGGGGCATCCATTAACCAAAAAGTATAAAGCAATTTGGTGACACCGGAAAGTTGACAGGACAGACAGCACAAGGGCCTTTACAGCATCGTTCCATCTTGCTTAATTGTTGAACGAACTAAAGGGGAATTTCAATCCTCACCCTGGTAGCTCGAAAACTAGAATGCAGGTTAAGCTCTTAGTAGTTCGAAATTTTAAATGCCAGTGACACAACAGACCCAGTGACGTTAAACAACCTTCAACATGCTGAAATAAACCACCAAACACGTACAAAATATCTGAAAAGATATTTTGATCCCGTGCATTTATCAAGTGTGAGCAAAATTCAAGTGCAAAATTGGAATTGCAAGCCGAGACAGGTGCCAGATGATGTTCCCCATCCTGCAGGCAATATGACTGTCGCCAGTGCAAAATGCGACCTGATCCCAACCGTCCAAGCAATTCACCCGCACTTGTATCATCCCTTGCTTCGGACGCCGGATAGCCAATGCCATCGAGGGGCTGCCCCAGGTCACAGAGGTCAGGTCAAAAGCTATCGATGACCAGGACCGAATCGAGTTGACCTGGCTGATTGAGTTGGACTTGGCAGAGCTGCATTCCGTCAGCATGACTAGCGTGGTGGACGTGTCTTGTTAGAAAGAGTGCCTGTTATGTCCTGTAACATCTGGCTGACACTGCAGCCGGCCCACCGGCATGCCCTTCGCAGCCAATGCGTCCTGCTGAGAGGAGTAATGCCCAAAACCACCCGTCCGTACCGCCGCCGCCGTTGCGCCCCGCCATGTTGGCTGTCTGTCTCTTCAGCTTGCTCGCGTCCAACAACGACCATGTCGCACGCAGAATTCCGTTCGGGAAAACGCAGCAAAAATGTAAACGCGTGTAGCGTAGCCAAATGTTGTTTCATAACTGCGTTTCACCGCTACTTCTTGATATCTAGAACGTCGATTGTTGTCAGGATAAAATTTCCAAATCAGTGCCCTCACCTTGTCACCTCGCGCGCGAGACGTAACCATTGCCGTGTTCCAGGGTGCTTGCCTGAAATACTGTTTTGTCGTCCGTGGCCTGCGCGCCACCGTGAAGGCCATTGTCGGCTGAATCCTTTGACAGCCCTTTCTGTTTGGTAATGGGCACATGCTTAGCCCGAAACCGCCACTAATAGCAGCGGATTGCCTATTCGCCGATCGCTTTCCGTGTATGGCATTTGGCGTCCCAATAGTGAGACGAATATCGGAGACCTTTCAGCTGGAACGCCAGCTATATCACCGATCTTGTGCATAATGCTGATCATTACGAGGCTGTCATTAGGCTGCTTTCACTCATTCCATGTAGTTTTCAGGTGGAAAAGTGAATAAACGATGTAATATGGATGAATTACATTGCCATAAGAGCATAGTCGCATTTTCCAAGCAGCAAATTGATAAAGATGTTGCCTGCGCCGAACCATTTTAGGAAATATCATGCACGTAAAAGACTTCAAGTTATTGTAATCATTCGTATCTCGTCAGCTCCGGCAAGCAAATTAGGATGAGTAAGAAGGAGCATTCACATTTGGTAACTAAAGACAAACCTTCACCAAATGAAACGTGCGTGCACAGATGTGCTATGTAACCTCTTTGCCTACTTTCCAGACCCGCCATTCGTTGATGAGGCAGGCTTTTGGACTGCATGGCGGCAGTCTGAGGCTGCAGTTTTGACGCCAGCACTAGTATATCGTTAACTGGGCAGCCAAGAGCACTGTCTGATTCAGGTAAGTGCTGACAGGAAACAAGTTTGGACAGTTTGGAGGGTTTTTGAATTTTTCATCTTATGGAGTATTTGGCATTTACATCTTACTTTTTTTACAAAATAAAGTACCAAGTGAACTGGCTATTTTCTAAAACAAAACAATATACATATATGTGTATATATATATATATATATATATATATTTACAATACAAAAGAAAGAATTTATATATTTATGTATATATATATGTATATATATATATGAATTCTTTCTTTTGATTTGTTCATTAACTTTTCGGAATTTATTTGTTACACTTAGTTTCCCCTTCTGTACACATTGGAGCACCCATGAGGGCTTTCCGTCAGGACTAAGAGGAACAAGGTGAGTAATCTGAGTACGCCATGAAGCAAAAATCCATCTGTATGAAGGAGACACACAGTATTTTGCATCAATAATGCAAATCACATCAAAAGGTTGCTGTCAAACAAACGGAAGAGTGTGCATTTTTGTCAAACAGACTGAAAAAATACGCAGCAGAACTTTTACCCATGGTTGTCTCTGCACTATGTACGGCTTAATGATCAATCCAGCGCTAAGCGTATATTATTTGACACGTTGTTGTAGGTCGAGTCCTGTATATTTAAGGAACAGGGCTGCATTGCACCCGCAATCAGATATTTATAACACAGCCAACACCATCTGATTGTATCCAAGGGCGATTTACAAATTTAGTTTTTTCTGTCGGATTCATAACAGGGTGGAATGAGATAAATTGTTCAACACAGATATCTTTCACCAAGCCCCGCAGCGATTTTTACCATGGAAAGTCAACACATCAGTGCCACAGGAAATCCATTATAGGCATGCATGTACTGGCCTCAGAATACGGATTTTTCGCTCGGCTCCACGTTTGTCGAACCGCCACGTCTCGACCGATTCCTTATAAAACCAGCGAATCCAGTGCTTCAAACTATTTGCCCCAAGCATGTCCCCGCTTCTTTTATAAGAAAACAAAAATTGTAGCTCAAATTCAATCGTACGCGTTTGCAAATCCGTAAAAACATAAGTGAGAAATGCATACGAGAAACAGGCCAAAGCACATACCAATCAGGATGCCTATTATACTAAAGACCTTATAAACGACGCGCTGGAATATTCCGCCTGGGCTTTGGACGATGCCGGACGGTCTCCTATCAAATTTTACGATGAAGTGTATCATCGCTGGTATTCTTCGGTGGACAACAGGAATGCTGGTAACAATCAGAAGCATGGCGCGAGAGTGCCGTGGATGTTTTTTTTTGCGTCCCTTCACACCTGAATTCTGCATTTTCCTCTTACAATGCACGCCAATTTCCATGAGGGTCCTTCGCCCGGTACGTACGTACGCGCGCGCGCGGCGCGTGCGTGCTCCCTTGACACGGACTCTGTCATGGATATATTATTATTTTACGTGATGTTTACCCCCAGCTCTCCATACAGCTTGCCGCCAGTGTTCCATTGACGCATTAGTTATGTCCACAACGCTAGCTACAAATGACCCCCCCCCCCCCCCCCCAATGGATTGTGAAAGTGAACAGCATTTGCACGGCCGCTGCTCAGCTTGTGCTATCATTGGGGTCAGGAGAGGGGGAAGGGGGACACCAGTGCCGATGCCAGATAGGGTCGATGAAGCGTCGTGCTCTGTCGTTACCGCAGCGATGCGATGTGTGGTGGTGGTCTGGAGTGGATCCAATAGCCGAGAGCTGAAGCGGACTACGCACACGGCCTTTGCCTGGTCAGGACATGTGTGATGAGATCATACCTTGAGGCAGCACGCGGTACCAGCTCTGCCAGCTGGCGGACAAGCATGGAGCCGAACAGAACAGTCTTCTGTGTAGCCAAGTCCGCAGAGTGGACTTGATGACCCGTGAACACTCAATGAGATCCGTGAACACGCATTGAAACCCGTGAATACGCATTGAGATCCGTGAACACGCATTGCGATCCGTAAATACGCATTGATATCCGTGAACACGCATTGTCATCAATAAATGTGCATTAAAATACGTGATTTTACATGAGATTCAAATTGTGGTACTATATCCAAGTGGTATTGTTTGCCGATATTCTTTGCACGCAATAAAAAAAACAATCAAGCGTTCCACCGTATTCGAATTGGGGCCTACCGAAGCGATTGCCATCGCTCTCCGTCGCGGTGCGAGACGCTGGTATCGTCTCTCAGATGAGCCGCATTCCCCTCTCGCATCCCGCTACAGCCACTGGCGCACCTTACGGGCTCCGAACAGGCGAAAGTGAGAAAATTGTCAGCCTTATTTCTGCGGCCATGGTCGTGACTCTTCCATCGGGTTCATGGGAGAGTCCGTCGTACCAGTGACTGTCAGCGTACCACAATGCCTACTCGTGGCTCGTCTTTACATCGCGAAACAAAGTTAATCAGTTGTTCCGATACCAATGGTGTGTGCGTTCGGCTTCGGAACAGCGACATTATTCGCTCAATAGGCTGCTTTATCAACGCATTCTGGTCACAGGTCGGATTACGCCATATCAGCGGTCGCTAATGTACGCTGTCACACGCCAGTTTCAGTCATGACGCAATACTACGTAAATGCAGCGTCATAAGCATGCGTCATAAGAAAAACCCCTGCTAAAGGTACATGGGTCATCCAAAGGACTTCGTAATCACGGGTTGTTCTAAATCATGCAAACGAGGGGCAGGCCGAGAAAAGATTCTTGATACGAAAGCTCTGGCCTGGATTAGACGTAAGCCGTTGTGATCACCGCCCTGTCCGTCCCCATCAACTCAGTGTGGAGATCAGGTTGTGGAGTCACAAGTGCATCACACATTACAGTGTCCCAAGCAAGCAACCCTAACATGAACATTAGACAAAGCTCAGAAAGTTATACTGTACACTCTTAAAGGCAGCCTCAATCCCGGATGAAAAAATTAATAAACCTCAAAAACTCGCCAGAAAGTTCGCGTCAAAAAATCGTCGGACATGCCCTCTTCAGTTGAGGTTTAAAAGTTATGGCTCGCTCAGTTGTTATAACTGTATTTGTTTGTTGTGCTTCATTCAAGTTTGAGACTGCAGTTAAAGGGAATGTTCCACATCTGAAGATATTGAGTTAGGCATCAAATATGATGGGAAATACTTCCTTGTAACTATTGGTAAGCTTTCAAGGTACACAAACGACGCAAGTGGCAAAATTTCAAGGTTGATAAAAATGGGCCCCATTACGTCATTGTTTGTTGGCGTCACGAAATGGGTTTGTGACGACAGCAAAACCTGGCAGCATCTGGCAGCCAGACCTAAAGAATACCTCGAAACACACGAAACCTGACGTCAACCGGCCATTCTCGTCGCGTCTTATTTTTTATAACTCCGGGAGAGTGCCCATTTTCTGGGTGCCGTATTTTTTTTTTTTTAGCAAACTGACGTTTTTTTCTATAACATTGACCCGTGGCCTAGAAATGAGGAAAAATTACCCGTTCACGACGGGTATCGCGCAGCCAATCATCTTCCACGGACAGCATCATCACATGTGCAGCATCATCGCCTTTGCGAATGCAGCAGTGACCATGCTGTTTTGAAAATAAACAAAAAAAAACGACCTGTTAACCACGGGGATCTAATGACGGTTCTATGGCGTCATTAATCAGAAGGCGATTTTAAAGTACGCTCTAAAGAAGACTTTTCGTACTTTGCGGACGTGCAACTCAGGAACCAGAGCGTTTGGGTCTTAAAAAGGCATATCCGTGAACTGCGTCAGGATGTCCTCGAGATGGCTTTTTCATTTCAAAACGCCATACATATGTGGAACTTTCCGTTTAAGAGTGTACAGTATAATGCTAATAAAGATGCGCAGTCCCAAAGAGGGTTTGCTATCGCTAAATAAAGGTTGCGCAGGTCCAGTGATAAGGCGCCATATTCTGGCGCTGCACCAATCGCAAAGCGCCTTGTGGTTAATAGATGCGACCCGCTCTAAGATACTAGACTGAACAGATTGTAGCCGAACTAGGTTAAACACTAACAAGCCGCGGACGGGCGCCCCTTGCAGAAATCCGAAAAGTCCACCAGCACGGGCAGTCGCTGACGACGCCACAGCAGTTCGTCTGCCGCCGGCGCACAACGCGATCTACCGCAGCCTGGCTGTCTTCCGTGCCGTTCCACTGTTCTTTCGTGCCTTCCGTGTGTTTCTTCCGTGTCGAGGGTCGGTTCCACCGTTCAGTCGAGAGACGGCTGCGGTGGAGGACCGGAGGTGGCCGGTCCGCTCGCCCCGCCGCTGGGCGCAGGTCTGCTGCCGTCGCCTACCCGAACCACCTGGACTGCCACCGGTTGTTCATCTCTATGATCAGAAGCATGCGTCAGACTGAACTCCACTTCATCTCCTACGGCAAGTTTCTGACCGTTCTGAACTTCCGAGAAGTGAAAGAGCGTGCCGCCCTCGTGCTCCAAGAAGCCGTACCTTTTGTTGGGAACGAGGTGTTTGACGGTGGAGCGAAGTCTCGCACGGTCCACGGTGATGTTAGCCGCGCGCTCTGTGTTCCCCTCCAGCTGGAATGTCACCTCTTCACCCACCCCCAACAATCCGCACGTGTTGCTGGCGGAATACACACCGAACTTGTATATGGCGCCCGTATCGCTGTCCTTCAGGCTACCGGAGATGTCAATGGTGTAACGGTCTCGGCTTACTGGATGGAGAACGACACCTCGGTGCATCCCGGGCAGCAGCGTCGGGCGTGCGATGGTACCCGCTGGCAGCTTGGTCACCCTTTCCACCACCCCGCGTTGGCTCTGCGTGTACTCCACCTCGTCACCACGCTGCGGTGGAATACCCTCTGTGCAGGCCAAATGGAAAGAGGTACTTCTGTGGTTCATGGTTTCAATGAAACCAAACTCGCCGGCGACAGAACACACATATCCACGCAATGTGGCACGCTCCAAGACAAACCGATTGCGCCGAACGTTGACCGGCAGAATTTGAACGGCTTCAGACCGGTTACCATTTTTGGTGGTAACTTCAACCAGACTACACTCCACTTCGTCGCCTTCAGCAAGCTGTTGGTCGTCCTTTACTTCGCTGAAGAAGAAGAGGGTGCCATTGCCGAGTTCGAGATAACCAAAGCCTTTACTGTAATTTATGCTGCTGACAGTGGAGCGGGATCTTGATCGCTCCACAGTGATGTTGGCTGCTCTCTCGTTGTTCTTCTCTAGCTTGTACATCACTTCTTCTCCCACTACCAACTTACCCCATGTGTTGCTGACAGCAGACACGCCGAACCGGTGCTCAGTGCGCTTGGCTTTGTCCTCAAGGCGACCGGAAATGTCGGCCACGTCGGTCGCTGAGAGTATTTGTTGAGTCACGACGCCTCGTCGAGGTTTTTCGCTCCGCAGCGCCGGGCGCGCGATGGTGCCTGCTGGCAGCTTGGTCACATGCGCCGCCCTGCCGGGCTTCTCCAGTGTGAACTCCACCTCGTCCCCACGGCACAATGGGACATTTTCTCCGCCTCCCGCGAGTTTGCTTCGATCGAAATCGACGCTCCGATAATCCCTGGTTTCAATGAAGCCATACGTAGATTTCATACCGATCACATAGCCTAGATAAACAGGAGGTGGCACCGAACTCATGTCTTCACTGGTCTGAGTTTCCCCTGTGGAGGAAAAATCAGTATTTTATTCTGTCATGAACGATTGAGGCAAAATTTCACAGCACATTACGCTTGGAAATGCGACATGAACCATCGATGTTATTTAAGAGCAATAGTTGTTACTTCTGTTCTCACGTCGCAAGAGGTGGCTATAGCGACAAACATCTTCGAAGGCAACGCTTTCTTGTCGTACATGAAGTTCTCATTAACAAATTCCAGGAGCAGAAGAAAGGTATCATACATTTTCCTTATTTGTATGTTAATATAACAATGCATTAAAATGTCACGCAACTAAATTTTCTCGAGATTTTTTTATAAATTTTCTATATATATAAATAATATAAATTAAATTAAAAAAGATAAATTTTCACAGCTAATTCAAGCCAACAAATGGTCACCGGTGCTCATATCAGATCAATGGCCTTACTTAATTCAGTTCAGAACGTCAAGATGAACAACAACTTTTGACGTTATTTTGATATTTGGAATTGCCATCAGTGATAAGAACGACGCTATGCAGTATGGTCCTAAATGCAAGCGGTGATTGGGATCATCTTAAGTCCATGACCTCCCCTGGCCGTCATGAAGCCAAAACATAGTGTTTGTTGACGTCCCACCAATCAATGATTTCGAAATGACCTTCAAATGCTACCTCATAAAACAGCCCGGGTGGCTAGTCGGATGCCCTTCGCTCGGGTGGGGGGTCAATTTGACGCCCTGAGATCTCAGGAACTAAGAGAGTTAGAGACACTAAATTCACAGGGTGTGTTGAGCTGTACGTGAACTCACTTAGGTCAAAGTTTTAGGTCTTAGACCACGACCTTCAGGTCAAAAAAGGTCAATCAAGGTCAAATTTTAGGTCTGTCTCCAAAGGGCGACTTAAACCTAGATAACTGTTCTAAGCAAGAAGCCTCATGCTCACTTAAGGTCAGTGACCTTGCTTGCCCTTTTGAGAGTCATGGTGACCGAGATCATGCAAGACTGCTTTGAGTTGTGTACTTGAATAAGCGACAAAGATTACGCTACTCAGAATGCTCGGAAACACAAAATGTTGACCTGGGTCATTTTAGGTCAATGACCTATTTTGGCCTTTAAAAATTCCATGGAAGGTGTATAATGCGATTCCTGTTATCAATAAACTCGAAATGAGCACCAGAAACTATCCAGTACAGTAAGCCCTGGAGCAATAAAACAGGTTGGTTTGACATTGGTCTTACCTTTATACCTGACCCTAGGTCAATTTAATTTGCTCAATCAATTGTTGTGCTGAGTAAGAAGATGGCTCAGAGATGTGTGGCTTCGTCTAACACTCCGTTGTTGGATCAGACTGAGCGATTCCCTAGAAATTGCCTTTGCTGAAACCATGGCCTGAATTTGATCTGCCATAGGACAGCAGCCTGACAAGTTACATCTACATTTGTTATGTCAGACAATCCGCTATTCAATTGTTTATAGCTATGCAAAATTTGGCGGCGCTACCCCGCACTGTTTGAAAACCATTCCGGAAAAACCTTCGAGGGGATCAAGTTGACCCCTCACTCGAGCGCTTGTTAATAAGCCGGCTTGGTTCTGCTCTCGGTCTGGTCATTACATCCAACATCAATGGAATTCATCCAGGCAAATAAAACAGTTGCCTTATTTTGGAATCCTATAGTTAAAATTGCTGAAACTATCAAATTTCTCCTTTTGCTCGTGCTGCAGAAAATAGTGAAGATCATTTATGTTTGCAACTGGGCATCGCACAGCTGCATCACGTCACATTTATGCAGTTGTTAAAATGAACAAATTTGCTGCTCATCTTTCAGTGCAACGCCATGATAGACATGCACCATTTCAAAATATACGGGGGACAGCTTGTCTGTGATCCCCTTTTTCCATTTTGAATACCCTAGGGGAATGAGCGCAGTATCTTACATTTTCCGGACCCCAGGTTATGTGGAACGTACCTACACATGGCACCCGACAGCATCAGCGGTTGCTGTTGTTTGCGGTTGCTTGTGTGACAGTGCGGGCATTGTGACGTCTATGACGTCAATGCTGATATATTCCTTAGAGGAAATGTTGGCTAAAAGTTAAAAAGGTGGCGTTCTACCGAATGTTTTAAAAAGAAGACGCCACGGCAACTCTTTTTTTCCTGCTGGCGTTTTTTTTCCTCTTCTAGTCACGTATTTCTTACAGACAGCTCGGTTGGCGCCGTGTGCACCGGAGCAAAACCTCTCACTGGTTTATGGGTTAGCTACGCATTATACAATTAGGGAAATATTACAAGAATTAGATTTGTTATTTGCAAAGAACTTAACACATATTGCATGACAAATTTAAGTATTGAACACAAAAATTGTGTCCATCAAGTACAACCTCTTGAGCTGCATTACCATAAACTCCCGTTTGAACTTTGTTTGGAAGGGAGCTCACCGTGAAATGCGGTGTTATGACCGGAAACCTGTGCGGAAATCGTGAAAACCTGCAATTTGGTAGTCCCGCAAGCTGTGCAAGCGTGGGATCGCACTTATTTTACAAAAGAGTGTGAATCAGGGGCTAGAAATGGATGTGATCACTGGTGGTGCGTGCCAGTGGCTTGTATTGAACTTGATGTGATGAGGAGTGTGCGTATGAGGTTTGTAGTTCTGAAAGAGAGCATTATTTTGGTTTTCTTTGAGTCTACTGACTCGCAATAAAATGTGACATATCGATACCTGCATCTATCTTTATGTTTGTGTTTGAACAGGCCAAGGTAGTGATGCTCGTAAACTGAAAGAAACGGTAGCATCTATGTTGTAGGGGTGTACAAGAGTAATTTGCCACTTCATTATGATCTTGCAAACATTTTGAACCAATGTCCTAGAGTTGCCGAATTTGGGTGTAAAGCAACACCCTATGAGGAGGAATTTTTCACTCCTTTTCCCCATATTTTATGTGAAATTTTCACTCCTGCCTGACATTGTCTAAAGGCACATGCCAAACCCCTATTTCCCTTTTTGAGGTTTTCAGATGTCATCCAAAGCCGAGCTCACTTGAAACCACCAAGCACAAACGAGGCTCCGCAGAACCTGGACACATATGGCTATTTTCTACCTCACCTACATCTAAATCATGTCTATGTATCCGCAGAGCAAGGGTGCCAGGTACCTCCAAGCCCAGGAACCCCAGCGACGCCAGCCGCTTGCACACATTCAGTTTGGTTTGTTTACAAAATGCATCACAATCTGCAGCTGTGCGCCAAATGCAAGGTTTTCATGCATCCCTTATTTTCTTGGTCTCACCACCACACTACGAAAGCAGAGCCTGGCGCAAACACCAGCAAGGCCTGGTAGAGAGTTTTACTCCACGTACTTCTTTTTTCCCGAGGAAACTTGACTACTAAATTGCATCGCTCACGAAACGCAGGAGAGAAAAGTTCAAGAAATGTCTTTTAATTTAAACTTACAAGATGAATATCACCATTGAAGCACTTCTATTAGCAGATTTTAGGTCAAATCAGCCGATTGCAAAATTTTGCGAGAAAAGTACCAGCCTCCATATTTATTTAGCTACTTTTGTTTTTCTTGTTATCATACCAGCGTCATACCACTTTATTCTTCATTCCTTTTCAGTTGCCTTTAGAGGTACCATCTACTGCTTAAAATGTTGAGAAATTTCTCTGCAAGAAGCTCCAACTGCAAGCTTGTACGTATTTCATACATAAATTGGATAAATTCGCCAGCCGCCCAAACATGTTTGATATGCACCCAAGCGTGAACAATTCACAGGGAATGAAGGAGACAATTTGAAGCACGGAACTTATTTTTACCGCCATTTTTGCCCTCTTAAACCTTCGGTTAACCGTTTTCTTGGTTCATGGCGGTGCTCAATAAGGATAAATCCAAGCTTTTCGAGTTTCCGATTTATCATGCTACCTGGCAAGGCTTAAAATAGCCTTGCATAATGTTCTCTCTGTATCGCAGCATTAGAATATGCTGCCACACTCAGCTCTGGGATAGACCTGACGCATCTAATACAGAAGTGTTTGATGGCGAAATTCTGCCCTGTGGAGATGTTTATCATGCGCACCTCCTACTTGTTTCGCATTCTAATTTCGAAGGTTGTTGGGCATGATTGATAGTCATATTTACGGGGTGAATTGGATGACTGTCTGCCAGCAAGCCATGCAAAAGGTACTGAATTTTTGTTTTGGGGGGAGCAGGAAGAAGCCGGTTAGTCTCCTGTGGACCAAGTAATTACTTACCTGCTTTCAATACATGACTGGTAACGAGAGTTAGCCATTTTCTGTCTTAATGCATCAAGTTTTGCCATAAGACAAATTATGATGCTGCAAGGCATGCAGTTGGCTTATTTTGTTACATATTCTTGGTTATTTGTCCCAAATTTCTTGCAGTGGCCCCTCATGGCTGCTTTAACCAGATGTTTTCTATAGTTGTCATGGTTTGCTGACCAGCAAATGACTGAACCGTATATATGCACTGTATTTTCAACACAGGGATACTCTAAGCTGCATATCACTTATAATATGAGCTAAATGCTGCTGTGTAACAAATAGACCAACCCATTTAAAATGTGAAGCCAACATCTCAGACATTGTCATGAAATACAAATAAACAAGCCCAAATGGATGCATTTGCTGCAGCTGAAAAGGTAAGCAGCAATACTGGCATGGTCATCTGAAAGTTACGTTATTTTTGGAGAGGAGAGATTGTTTTGTGGAGCATACCCATTATTGCCTGTGACACAGGCTAACCATGACAATCAAAATAAGTTGTTCAAAGTGATTTAAAGTGTTTTAACTTGCATGTTGTCAACTTTGTCTGATGTCAACAAGCAAGCAAAAATGAACTGAATAAAAATGCAAGCTGAAACCAGCCAACAACTAGCTTTAAATATCATGTTTTTATCACAAGTACTACTGTCAACAGATAGGTGAGTTGAGATGATGTTCATCATATGGGCTACTCTAAGTTAGGTTAAGTTGGTCAAGTGCATGGAAAGTGGCAAAGGAATTGTGCAAGAATCATTAACTCACACCTCCTGCTGTGATATATACAGGTTATACAGGATGAGATGATGTAAAGCCTCCTTAGGTTAGGCATAAGCTACTTTCATGGAAATAAACATAGGTATTTTGTAAGAAACAGTGACAAAATGTTTGTTTTCCCTGACCCCACCTTAGCAGAAGCCAGAAGTATGTCTATCGTGTTTGACTTGGTGCTGGGCTGATGTGTAGGAGTCCAATGTTATTTTGTTTGAGTGTTTTATGCTTGTTGAATTTTTTGTTGTTATATTGTTATTGAATTTGCTTTGCTTTGCTTTGTTTTATTTTAAAAGTGCTGTGGAAAGTAATTCAAAATTGCGGCATGAAATTATTGGTGTTAATAATTTGTTATACTCATAATGCTGTCATGAAATTACTATGCTTTAACACACGCCCGGCTGGCCGGCTAGACACCCTTCGCTCGGGTGTAGGCGGGGAGGGGGGGGGGGTAATTTGAACCCCCCTCCTCTGAGATCTCGGGAACTAAGAAAGCTAGAGACACCAAATTTACAGGGTGTATTGACCTATACGTAAACTCATTTAGGTTAGGGTTGCAGCTTCCCAGGTCATGACCTTCAGGTCGAATCAGGTCAAACAAGGTCAAATTCCAGGTTGGTCTCCAAAGCACCCCCAGAACCTAGGCAACTGTCTCTAAGGAAAAGGTCACAAACCCATTGGAGGTCATTGACCTTGTTTGACCCTTTGAAGGTCATAGTGACCACAATGATGCAAGACTGCTCTGCATTTTCATTTGAATAAGCGACAAAGATTACGCTAGGCACTGTTCCTAAAACAGAATGTTCGACCCGGGTCGTCTTAGGTCAATGGCCTGTTCTGACCTCTAAGAAGTAAACTGAAAATGTATAATGCGGTTCCTGCTGTCAATAAATTCGAAATGAGCACCAAAAACTATCTCATACAGCAACCCCTAGAGTAATAAATCATGTCGGTTTTGACCTTGGTCCGACCATCATACCTGACCTTAGGTCAGCGTAATTTGCTCATTCGATATTTTCGGTGCCTAAGAAAGCATCTCAGATGTTTATGTCTTCGTCAAACACCCCGTTGTTGCACCAGATTGAACGACTTCCTAGAAATTGCCTTGGCTGAAACTTCGGGCTGACTTTGACCTGTCATAGTTCAGCGACATTACAAGGTACATCTAAAATTGGTATGTCAAATGATCTGCTATGCAATTTTCTACAGCTATGCAAAATGTGGCGCGGCTACACTGCGCTGTTCAAAAACCATTCGGGAAAAGCCTTGGGGGTCAATTTGCCCCCCCCCCCCACACCTGAGCGCGTGTTATTGTATTCTGTTTCACTTTAATGCCCTAAGATGTTAAAAAACGAAATATTTTTTGTCAGGTTTCTGATAATACGTCCATGCCAACTTGAAATACATGTCTTTGTTTGCTGAAGCATCCGTCACGAGCTCGAAAGTTCCGTCTTTTGTGAATGAATTTGTTCACTCCCGCATGGTCTCTTTGCGATGGAATTTTTCACTCCCACCCTAGTTCAAAAGCGATTCTAGCTCCCTGCAGCAAACCATGCGAAAGGTACTGACTTTTTGTTTGCGGGGAGCGGGAAGAAGTGTGCTCTTAAAAAGCCAGCAAGTCTCCTGTGGAGCACGTAATTGCTTGCCTCACCTGCTTTCATCACATGATTTGTAGTCAGAGCTAGCCATTTCCGGTTTAAATCCATCAATTTTTGTCATAAGGCAAATTATGATCCCATATGACTTGTAATTGACTCATTTTGTTCCACATTCTTGATTATTTGCCTGAAATTGCTTGAAGTGGTCCCTCATGGCTGCTTTAACCACATGTTGTCCATAGCTATCATAGTTTGCTGACCAACAAATGGCTGTACTGTATATATATGTACTACATTTTTAACACAGGGATACTCCAAGCTACATAGCAATTATGAGGTAAATATCAGTATGTAGCAAATAGTCAGACTATCCCAATCAAAATGTGAAGCGAACACATCTCAAACTTTGTCATTAAAAATGAATACACAAACCTAAATAGATTCCTTTGCTGCAACTAAAAAGGCAAGCAGCAAAACTGGTAGGGTCATCTAGAAGTTATGTTCCTTTTGGAGAAGTGAGATTGTTTTGTGAAGCATACCCATCACTGCCCTTGACAAAGTTCAATCATGGCAATCCGAATGAGTTGTTCAAAGTAATTTGAAGTGTTTTGATTTGTGTGTTGTCAACTTCATCTGGTGTCAACAAGCTGACATAAATGAACTGAATAAAAATGCAGGTTGAAACCAGTTAGAAATGGGCTTTATCATGTTTTTATAACAAGTGCGGCTGTCAACTGTTAGGTGAGGTGAGTTGAGATAGTGTTCAACATATGGGTTACTCTAAATTAAGGTTAGGTTAAGTTGGTTAAGTGCAAGGCAAGTGGCAATGAGAATCGTGCAATAATCAGTGACTTAAAAATTATGGTATGTTGCTGTTGAATGTTAAATGTTATGCTGCTGTGATACAAACAGGTTAGACAGGATGAGATGAGGTAGAGCCTCTTTAGGTTAGGAATAGTTACGCTACTTTCATGGGAATAAGCGTTGGTATTTTGTAAGAAACATTGACATCATGTTTGTTTTCCCTGACACCATCTTAACAGGAGCGAGAGGTATGTCCATTGTGTTAGACTTAGCCATGGGCTGTTGTGTAGGAGTCCAAGGATTTTTTGTTGTTTGAGTGCTTTATGCTTGTTGAATTTCCTGTTGTTGTTTTGTTGTTGTTCTCTTTTGCTTTGTTTTAGGTTAAAAAATGCTGTGGAAGGTAAGTGCAAAGTGCAGCACAAAATTATTGGTGCTGCACAGTTTTTTATGCTCATTACACTGTTATGAAATTGCTGGCTTTAATAGATTCTGTTTCACTTAAATGGCCTAAGATGTCAAAAAAACAAAACAGTTTTGTCAGGTTTATGATATTACATCCATGACAATTTGAAATATATGTCTTTGTTTACTGAAGCATCTCTCACTAGTCCATAAGTTCCATGTTTTGTTAATTGAATTTTTCACTATCGCGCGGCCTTTGGCGATGGAATTGTTCACTCCGACCCTATTTCAAAAGCGATTCTAGCTCACTATGTTTAAGTGCCCTGAGTGACAGGTAGCCGGCCGGACGACAGTTCCTTCCGTTCTAACAACGGACATCCAGGCAAATTTGTTTTAGTTCGGGCGGTGTTGCACCTGACCTTCAAGGAGGTTCGTTGCTGGACTTATCATTACTGATTGACCGCTCGCTAGCGCCCTAGATCGCCCGTACAAGATGTCAGTGGCTGTCGCTCACACCGTTTTCAGCAGTGAAGGCTTAAACTGGGAGGCGATGCTGAGAGGGTCGCGGGTGTTGTTGCGAGGGCACTTACTGCGCTCTGACCCATCCAACTTTCACAACTTTTAACATTGCATCATAGTTTACCATGGTGGCGCGCACTTGCTGTACGCAGCGCTTCTTCATTGACGTTCCGCGCGTGTTCGGGTGCACCGTGCCGCCGCATCGCCGGACGGCGGCCGCCCGCCAGCCAGGCACGGGGGAAGTCCCCCAGCAGACCTTTGCTCATGGCAGGATCTGCTTCTTTGTCGCGTAGCATGCCGGCGGATGGGTGTGGCCGCTAGAGTTTCAAGTATCTCGCTAAAGCATTTCGCCCAGGATGAATCATATCGAAATAGGGCGAAGGTGTTATTTATCCTGAGTCATGACTTCCAGATCGTGCATAGCTGGTTCAATAGCCAAAATCATAGCTGATTAGACCAACAGATTTCAGCTGAAATGAATTGAATGTTTAGCGAGATGCTTGAAACTGGTGCGACCACACCCATTCTTGGCCTTGCAATGCGGCGGAAAAGCAGCTCCTGGCATATGCATGCAGGTACATTGCGGCTCTAGCGCTGCACAAAGCTGTATTCATGCCAACGATCGTCATGCATTATCGTGTCGGTTTCTGCAACAGTACATCAAACTTTAAACGCAGATAAATTACGGAGTCATTCCGCAGCCCGATAAACTCAGAACAATCAAGAGTCTCATGCATCATACACAAGTACGGCAAAAGCAAGCACAAATCAGAATAATATGCGTACCAAGTATTGTCGTCAGCGGACCGATGTAGTGCACCGCCACACCGTAGCGAAGCTCGCACGGAAGTGGTAAACACGGTGCGCCTGACGTGGCAGGGGACGATAACGGCGAGGCTGACGTGGCGGGAGTTCAAAACGGTGCGACAAAGACGAGCAGCGAAGGGTTTAGGCACTAAGCTGAAGCTGTGTGTCCGGAGCCGTCAGGCGCACCCCTTCGTCGCTATAGTTGTCGTGATTTTATATTTGGGGGGATCTGCATAGGCTAGGGATGTCATTCCGCTGCGCCGAAGATCTGTTTTAGAAGCCGTATGGGCCGTGTAATCTTATCAGAAAAGCACAAAGACGTTCGGCCTCAGGGGTGCCGTCAGTTCTAGAAGGAGGGAAGGCATGGTCCTTAAAGCCCCTGGCTACGCAAGGGGGCTTTACCCATATACACTTTGTTATTGTTATGTTACCAAACATCCCGGAAATGTTCTACTAATGTACATAAACTAGCGTGACCTACAATTTAAATGAAGTGAGGTGACGTATAAGTGAAGTGAAGTGACCCGCAAGTGAAGTAGCGCAGAAGTGAAAAACTAGGTCAGGTGGTAACCTTTCCATTCCTGTGTTGCGGCCGCCGCAGGTTCACTTAACATGTCATGAGACATAACTAAAGTTACAGTTGTCTCTCTTCCCATTGGTGCAGAGAGAGAGTTGCTCTTGCCATCTCGCGTGAGTAAGTACTGTTTGGTCTCGTAAACGCTCCTGTGGAAATTGCACTTGACGTCTCAGCAATTTTGGCGAGGCTACTCAGTGCCTCGGACGAGTGCTGGCCAAGGGCTCTGCTGAGCAGAATTGTTTTATAAATTAATGTTTTTGAGCCAGCTCGGAACCTGTTCACATATTTTGGGATATAATTCAACTCATGACTTAAAGTCGTTCCATTTTTTATCATTCAACTCAGCTCAGACCTATTCCTTGCGAAAAAAAAACACTTGGCTAATGTCTCGCGGAGATCCCAAAGTCAAAAATCCTTTCCAGATGTGGCGCATTACCTCATGAGTCTTGGGCAATTTGACTCATTCATGTATATATGTAACAGCTGTTGTAAATGGCAGCATATGTGTTGTGCAATACCGCCTTCTTCACATCCTCGATGTTACGAATATATTTTCTGTTATGTGGCGCAATGATATATATATATATATATATATATATATATATATATATATATATATATATACCGTGGCATGGAGAATGGATCCAAATAGCTTTTCGGCAAGTCTGTTTATTAACCTACCAAATGCAGTGCAGCAATCAGTACTCTTCCTGTAACCTGCCCCAAACAGTTCTCTCAAGTCTCAGCTTCAGACTAGCACATTCCTCTTGACACGTACGACCCACGCCCATCAGTTATATAGCCTATAAGTTATACTTCCTGTTTACTTCATATATATTATCACCAATAGCATCCTGAAAATTGTTCAAGAAGCAAATAGCGGTTAGGTATGGATTAGTTGATCGTTGTGACTATTGATAATGAGAAGTATAACTGGGCCTTGAATGATATAGGTACTAGAAACCATTCACTGATTTTGGCATAGAACATAGTAACGATGGATTGTTGTGCCATGCTATATGCTCTGGCTCCCGGCAGCCATTAGCAATATCTTAGATCAGAATAAAAACTGTAACTAGAATTAGTTCCTGTGTCGTTTTACTGTCCGATAAGCCCTCTCCCTGGTTCTACGCTCTGGCTGTTTCGATACCCAGCCCGTTTTCTTGCTAAAGCGTTGGTACACGACTAATTATGTGCTTGTATATCAACCATGCTGCTTGAGGTGTACTGACTTTTTAATAGGAAGTGTGCTGGGAGAAAACATATCCACCGCAAACGCACAAAGAAGACCAACGCCTAAGCTGTGCCACTCACGCAGGGGAACGAAAAGTCGCACCCTAACACTGTGTATCGGAAATGATATTTCATTTCGGCTTGTCCGGGATGACATGCGTAAGACCTTATATGCTTGTCAAAGTTCAGTTCCCGGGAGCACGGTCGTGTCCTGGGCAGTCTCGGCGAGAGAGTGAGAACCGTAACAAACAATAGACATTTAACAAACAATAGACACAACCAAACAAACACATAACAAACAATAGACACAACCAAACAATAGACATTTTAAAAGCTCTGCCGCGGCCGGAAAAGTGGTCGAGTACGTTACCTGGCCCGGTGCTGACCAGGGTTGTTACGCTGCCTGGCCCCTGTCTTTCCCGGAGAGTAGGTAGACGTGGTCTGTGTAAACCGATCGACAGGCGGCGGCGACGCGGTGGCTACGCCAAGCTGCCGAGTGTGCGGTGACGCACGGACCCTAGGCCAACGGTCGGGTGGCCTCAGACGCTGTTCCGTCCAGTGGCGGCGATACGGTGGCCTTGCCGAGCCGCTCCAACATTTCGGTAGCAGCAGTGGGATAGCCATTCCGGGCTGCCGGTCCGCGGCGACGCCCGGCTCTGCGCCGACGGTCGCGTAGCCTCGGACACTGTTCCGTCCAGTGACGTCGACACGGTGATCGTGCCGAGCTGCCGTTTGCGCGGTGGCGCCCGGTATCCACGCCCTCGATCGTGTGATCTCGCTGTCGTCCCGTCCCTACGGGCGGCTGGGCCGGTCGTTGACCCCAGCGTCGGCCCCCGGGACGGGCTAGTCTTGCTGCTAATTGTATGTGAGTCAGCTGGCGCCCGGGCGGATCAGCTGGTCCGGCGGCTCGGCGGAAGATGATCCGCTGAGCCGGGCCGCAGGTCGCAGAATTGCTGCGGTGCATCGACTCGTCTTTCAGCTCTTTTTTCGCATTGTGCTTGCTGCGTAGAAATTACAATGAAAAGTGAGCATTGTACTGATCTCGTAAACAGGTTATGGCCTGAGTTACATGCTGCTCATTTTAACACTTTAAAATGGTCCGTTAATTCGTCTGGGGCGTGCTGCATCTCCTCATGCTACAATTTTAATGGGCAATATTGCTTACTGGCAAGACATTGTCAGAGATGATCAGTTCAAGATTCAGGTAATGACGTGCAAGGAGAATGCCTTTTAGATCATGGGTTAAAGTGGCATTTTTTTCCGAACGAGCCGGTCCATGCCGCAGCTCACCCAAAGAGAATGGCTCATGTGTTCATTGATGACTCAGCTCGAGTGGAACGCATCTCTACTCCCCAGACAACCAGCCCAGCCTGGCTCGGGCCCAGGACAATGGATCCAGACCCGTTCACTCGCATGGCATGGGGCCCAGACTTGAGCCCACCCCTTAACCGGGAAACCTACGTTAATGTTAAGTTAAGTTAAGTTGAAATAGGGCCGCGTCTGTGCGTCAGCGGGAGCTGTGACTCACTCCCAGCAGTTCCCAACTCTCTCCCTTAGTTTCCACTCGATGTGTTTCATCCACGGCTGGGGAACTTGGTTTGAAAGAAGCATACACAATTGACATTGACAAATTGACACAGCCCAGCCTCAAGGGCTCCAACGACGCTGAAGGTCTGCGAATGCACAATTAATCGGATGAAATAGTTAGCACTCAATGCATCCGTATCTCTTAGGTCTCTTTGATTACCCATCAAGCTAATTGAGGCGGCAAATTGCACCTGACGCCAAAGTCATTGAGCTAGCACACCGTACTACACCAAGCGACAAAGGTGACACGATTTTCACACGGCCCCGCCATCAAAATACCGTGCTAAAAACGCTACACAGCCGTAAAAACTCAATACGCAGTAGAACCACGCGTAACCCATGGTTCACCCAGTCTAGCATGGACAAATCTATCTCAGCGTGCATCGGCGTCGCAGGCGTTCCACCACCTGCGACCTCGTGACCTTCACCTGTCCGCGGTCCACCGAATGCGCTGGCGGACCATTCTTCTGCGCTCAGCGGCTGGATGGACGAGTACTCTATGCCCAAGATACGCACCAACAACCGACAAAAACATGCGCCGACATCGAAAGAAAAGATTGCGAAAGAACGACCATCACAAAAAGCAAACGTTATTGAACGCGGCTGTGAGCATCTGCAAAGGTTCCCAAGAGAAGTCAACCAAGACATACTCAAGTTTTAGCACACCGTAACTTTCACGCAGTCACTAACAGCACCAACAGGGCCAAGATGGCCGGGACGTCTCGGCAAACACTGCGGGCCCAGCAGCCCGCAATGGCGTAGATATCAACAGAACCACCCCCTTGAGGCGAACATGGTGGTCAACGCGGAATCTTCAGAGGCCACCTGCGCTGCAGCCTTTAACGACATCCTATAAGGCTGCCGCAAGGTTGTTTATCGAATGAGAGACACGTTTCCTGTCTTGGCTTTTGCACGACTCCGCGTAAAAGTCGACGGCTTTCACGTTGTCTGTTGACCGGGCATGGATTTTAGCGCTGCGTTTGTCAGACATTTAGGACAAACCGGATTTGCGGGCCTTTTCGGACAGATACCAGACGGATACAAATTACATTGATTATTTGGCTGCCTTTCAGAGAGTTCACCATGGGCTCCTGAGCCACGAGCTAAAACTTCAGCGCTGCGATGGCTGCGTATTTTGCAAACATGTGATGGGTTGTAGAATATTTCAGCGTGGTCTGGACGGGAGCGGTCAATTCCTACACAGTGCGGGTCGATCCAGTGCAGCACAAGTTTCTTATTCGGTTACTCACCCATCAATTCTCACATCACTATTTCATACGGGCCGTTGCCAGTGTGCCGTTTTGTGATAGAATGTGACGGTGCTTCCCGCACTTCGAATCAAAATTTCATATCCATTATTTTCTTGGCGGGAAAATTGCAGTGCCGAAATCAGTTGGGGAGAAAGGTTGATGTATGTATGTTAGCTTCCGAGAGATCATCAGGAGGCTTACCGCTGTTACTGCGAGACACCATTTAGAGTTTCACGAAGTCGTCAGGCAGGAATCAACTTCTTTGACGACCAGTGTGCAAGCACTTACGCACCAAATCGGGCAAATCGTTTTCTTTCTTATGTCAGTCTTCTGCTTCATTTTTAAAATCCGTCAGCACGGAGAATGCAGCCCGATTCACTCTTTCTGAGAAACATCTTCCAAGGTAAACTGGACTCTCGAGTCTTGTTAAGCTGTTTCCTTTGCTTTTGCTGCCTCGCCCGACACGCTCTCGAACTCTGCCCGCTGTACTTCGCGATCGCATGCAGACATTATAGAGCAGTCTGCTTTACACACTGCCAAGCGCTGTGAACACTTTCTTAGCAAGCAACACTA